GTCAAACTTCAAGCTAAGCTGGAGTCGGAGCTCGATTCTCTCCTTGCCCAGGAAGAAGTTATTTGGTATCAAAGGGCCAAAGAGAAATGGGTGAAGCTCGGTGAGCAGAACACTTCATACTTTCATCAAAAAGCTACCATTCGACGTAGAAGAAATAAAATTCTCTCCTTGCGGGACACGAATGGGGTTTGGATTGATGATCCAGTTAAACTTTTGGATCTGGTGGTGAACTTCTTTAGCACTCTATACACTCAAGATGAGCCACAATATCAAGATCTGATGCCGAAGAACAAGTTCCCCAGATTGTGTCAAGAGGAACTTCTTACCTTGCTGCGCCCCTTTAACATGTCCGACATCCACAACGCAGTATTCGGCATGAAACCTTTCTCGGCGCCTGGGCCAGATGGTTTTCAAGCGATTTTCTATCAAAAACTCTGGGGATCAGTGGGAAGAAGTCTAACTAACATGGCGACTTCTTTCTTTGTGACAGGTGTTCTTCCTCCCGAAATGCTGGAGTCCACCATTGTGCTCATTCCCAAGACGGACCAGCCAGAGTCACCTGCTCAGCTTCGCCCTATTTGTTTGAATAATGTGGGCTTAAAAGCGATTACCAAGGCCATTACCAATCGATTAAAGCCTCTTATGAGAAAGCTAATAGCTCCAACGCAGAGTGGCTTCATTCCTGGACGGCAGACAAATGATAACATTATCATTTTGCAAGAAGTTCTGCATACCCTTCGGAAGAAGCAAGGAAAAAAGGGTGGGATCATTATTAAAGTGGATCTGGAAAAAGCCTACGACAGGCTGCGGTGGGATTTCCTCCGAGACACTCTGATTGAGATTGGTCTTCCAAGCACCTGGATTGGCAGAATCATGTATTGTGTCGAGCACAATAGCATGAGGATCAATTGGAACGGGCAACAGACGGATTCCATCACTCCCTCCAGGGGAGTAAGACAGGGAGACCCTCTTTCCCCTTACCTTTTTGTTTTGTTTATGGAGATATTGGCCCATCGTATTGAGCAAGAAGTCAATAATAAACGTTCGAAGCCTATCTCTCTCTCCCCAAATGGACCTAAACTGTCTCATCTATTTTTTGCAGACGACCTAATCCTCTTTGCGGAAGCCGAACACAACCAGATTGATGTCATTAGAAGATGTCTCGATGATTTTTGTGCAAGCTCAGGCCAAAAAGTAAACCTTTCAAAGTCTGCCATGGTGGTGTCAGCCAATATTAGCCGTCAAAGAGCTCATCAACTCAGTGATAGAGCAGACATACCTTTAACCAGTGACTTGGGCAAGTATTTGGGCATAAATGTGATTAATGGGCGGGTTACGAGAGCAAGGTACAAGGAAATCTGCCTAAAAATTCAAAAGAAGCTTGCTCTATGGAAAACACGTTATCTCTCTTTGGCAGCCCGAGTTACCTTGGTGAGATCAATTTCAACATCTATGGCCATCTACCCTATGTTTTCAGAATCACTGCCGGTGTCTGTTTGCAATTTGATGGACAGGATTAATCGACAGTTTGTGTGGGGTGAAGAAGAGGGTCGAACTAAATTCCACCCTATAGCTTGGGATCAACTAACTCTACCTCGCAGCCAGGGTGGAGCAGGAATCAGGCCAACTCGTGCTACCAATCAAGCTATGCTGGCAAAAGGCAGCTGGAGACTAGTTACCGATGATAACACTCTATGGACAGAAGTGATAAAGAACAAGTATGCCCGCTCGAGAGACGGTTTGGAAATCCTCAACAAAGTAAAGGGAAGTTCTTTTGCTTGGCGTAGCTTTGCCTCTGTCTTAGATGTGATCAAGAAAGGATATGTGTTTAATATCTCTAATGGTAGAAGAGCTAAATTTTGGATGGATCCGTGGGTTTTGCAGGTTCCACTAGCAGAGCTTGCTGTAACGGAGATTGACGCGGACAAACTGCACAGCAGGGTGGCGGACTACTGGGATGCAGATCAGGGGTGGAAAGTGGAGGAGTTCGAGTCTGTGCTGCCATCGAGCATCGTCACTAAAATCAGAGCTGTGATGGTGGATCCTCTGGCTGCAGAAGATGATCGCCCAATATGGAATTTAACTTCAACAGGGAAGTTCACAGCTAGCTCTGCTTACAGGGCCCTTTTTCCTCATATTTCAGATCAGCAAACCATTTGGCAAAAGGTTTGGAGGCTGCAGGTGCCTGAGCGGGTGCGAATGTTTATTTGGATGGCAATGAAAGGAAAATTAACCACCAATACTATTCGCAAATACAGACACCTCACCGATGACGATTCTTGCCTGGAGTGTGAGGGCGTTCCTGAAACACACCTCCACTGCTTGAGGGACTGTGATATAGCGAAAAGAGTGTGGAGCAAAGTGGTGCCAAGTGAAAGCCATTCAGAGTTTTTCAATTGCAATTATGAGACATGGATGATGTCTAATGTTACTAATGATTCGCAGGGTAACGGCAGGGAAAATTGGGCATCTTATTTCAGCCTGGTGCTATGGTACGTTTGGAAATGCTGGAATGACAGAGTCTTCAACGACATCAAGCTCTCCCACTCGACGAGGCTCAATTATGTCACAGCCAAAGCGAATGAATGGGTGAAAACCTGGGACGCAGCTAGCGCAAGACTTGATCTTAACTCCAAGCCTGCAAGAACTGAGACCCTGATAGGTTGGGTAGCTCCAGCAACTGGATGGTGGAAGCTCAATACTGACGGGGCTGCTCAAAGTAATCCAGGTATGGCCACTGCAGGAGGTGTCTTGCGGAACTGTTGGGGTGAGTGGATTAGTGGTTTTTGTAGCAAGCTTGGCACTGGCTCGGCTCTTCTTGCCGAATTGTGGGGCATTTTACAAGGTCTTCAGCTGGCTTGGCAAAAGGGAGCTCAGTTTCTCATCCTTGAATCTGACTCTCAGTCAACTTTGAATTTGATTGAACAACGTGCAGACCCAGTACATCCCTACTCGACGATTCTTGGAGCCATTCGCCGCATGATAGCGCAAAGTTGGGTGGTTCAACTTGTTCACACGTACAGGGAAGGGAATAGAGTCGCAGACTGGCTCTCGAAGCACAGTCTCGTCTATCCCTTCGGTACGCATGAACTAGATGAACCCCCAACCAGGCTTCTTTCGATGCTGCAGGATGATGTTCGGGGAGTCAGCTTCCCGCGGCAGGTTGTGGAAAATTGTTAGATTTGTTTTGTCCCTGTTTTTGCTGCCTGCTTCCGGATCTCTGTTCGGCTGATCCCTTGTAACTCTCTCGGCTGTTTTGTTTAGCCTCCACTTAATAAAAAAAAAAAAAAATCTAATGCAATTATGGAATGGAGGCAACATTTTTTTTTTATTATAAATTGTTTTTATACCTAAGTGTTTATGTAATTATAATTAAATTTAAAAAATCAATTGCAAGTTAATTGTATTGATGTTGAACAATCAAAGTAATATGAGTTGGATTAAAAAAAAAATTGAGGTGCCAATAAAAAGCATAACTACAATTGCATTTGTATAAATTCTCTAATACCAAATAGCAAATAGTGATAAATTTGGTATGATATTTTAACATACGGTGTACAACGGAAAATGGAGGGTCATGCTGGATGCGTTGATGGGCTTGTGCAACTGGCCCACAACTATAATATGTATGGGCTGCTCCTAAGCGGAGTTCGTCAGGCCGATATGGACGGCCCAACATTAATTTGTCTGGTTCTGATCACAGTGCTGCCCTGTTCTAGCCTCTAGGTGAGCTGCAGAGGGATTGTGGATTTGTGGCAAGGCCTTGCTTGTGCAATGCTTTCAAGCTCAAGGATTTGGAATTGAAGGCGTACGTGCGTGGCTTTCGCTGTCCACCTTCTTGTTCTCACAAAAAAGCCTGTGACTGTGAGCACCATAGTTGGGTTGGATGTACCTCGTACATCGAACCGAACCGCTAAAAAGTCGAACTGTACAATGGCCAACGTTCATCATCAGCACTGTAGCAAAATCCAATCCGAAAGAGCACAAGAAATAGAAACCAGCTACAAGCAACTAAACACAGCAAATTGCCTGTGCAATTTAGACCTGCATGATAGACAAGCATAGCAAAGAGTAGAAGATGGAAGAGTAGGGAGCAATAATGAATACCCAAAAATGGACCTCAATACTCATTGAAATAGCAACCAAAGCATTTTTCAGGAAGTTCATCTAACGTCGGAGTTTGTTGTTAGAAAGACGGCGAGCTCTTCAGTTGAGCGGGAAAATCGCGCATGGAAAAATCGAGAAGACTAGACGGCGGCTAATAGAAACCATTGCTCAAACACAGGTTCAGCAACTACCCTCAATCAGCATAGGACAACTAGCAAGTAAACAGTAGAATCATAAGAAAAAAAATTAACACATACGCGTAACTCAAAGATCAAGTAATTGAGAGGAGTGGAGCTATATGTAATTCAGACACTAGACAACTTACAATACCTCTAGACAGGAGATTTCACATACATTGGCCAACGGAACAAATTACATCCATGGAGGAAAAGGAAATGTACGTAGTAGCCCTTTCTATGTGACTCTGTTTCTCATAATACACCCACTGTGACTCTTGTAACTTTCAAAGGTACCCTCCCTCGACTCGGCTCGCAAGCACCGGTAACCAGCAGTACTGCAGCTGAAATCGTATTTTGAAACTCAGCAAGTATTGTTAAACAAGGGTACAGCAGCAAAGCTGAAACTGTGAACCAATCACCCATCAAGGGCTCAACTTAAGTAGGATTTCATCAAGACTTTAACAAACATACATGAAAGAGCAGAATGATGAAGCAAAATTAGAGAACACACTAGGACGACAACGATCCAATCCGATCCACCACAAAGAGAGAAAAAAACAGAACCAACAAGAGTTAGATGATTACAAACGGAATAAGCACATTGTCTGTAAACATGGACGGACGGACAGCCAGGAACAAAAAGAAAAGCAAAAACCTCCAAACAAAGCTAGCAATCTGCAAACAGCGATTGCATCAATGGCGCCCTCTCAAGTCTTACCCATCAATGGGCACTCCACTCCGGCCGCCAACAGCAACAACCTCGCCGGTGGCCACTTCCGGCTGATCAGCCTCCTCCTGTTCCTCCTCCTGCTGAAGCTGCTCATCATCAACAACAACAAGTGGCGCCAAAACCAGCGGAGGCGAAGGTGGAGGCGAAGGCGGGTCAGGGATAGTCTCAAGCGTGATTATAGATTGATGTGGAACCAGATTTGGGTCATACAGACTGTAGTAGTCCATGATGATAAGAGTAGTACCTACAACCTGCAGCCAATGAGCCAGCTGATTACGATTTTACTTTACAAAGGCAAGGAGGAGGGTAAAAAGGAAGAATTCGGTTTTATCAATTCGATCGCCGAATTCAAAATTCCGCTGTTTACAAAGAGAAACCCACTTCTTCACAACCAATCGAACCAAAATAATAATCAGGCCATAAAACGGACAAGGACCGAGTCTATCTTAGGGTTAGGGTTTATGAAGATTTGGTTAGACAAGGGAGAACGTTTACCTTTCGCGAAAACTCCACAGAGAGAGATGAGCCGTAAGCAAGCAGGAACGGTTCGATGAACTTTCAAAGAATGTAGAGGAACACCCTATTTATACTAATAATAACAAGTACCGAGTGGGTTGCTGTTGTCCGCCACCGCCACGGATTGGGCTTTCAGTTTGCCAGCCCATAATTCAATTGCTACTGAAACCTAAGCCTAGCCGCATTATTGTGTCAACTACGACTAGGCTAAAAGCTGTTCGGACCTCGGACAGCCCACAGTCTTATACTATTGGGCCAGGGTAGTTCACACCGGCCTGCGGCCCATGCATGTGGACGTAACTTCTCGTGCAAGGAGGAGTCCGAATCTCTTAATACAACCCTAATCATCTGAGAAATAATAACAAAACCCTAATCCGGGAAAAGCGTTCCTTTCCCATGGACTAGTCCCAAATTATCGGATATCACATAAACATCGTCTCGTACTTTTTTCATGGTATTAGAGCGTTTGTAAGTTATAGAGGAATCAATTGTTTCTGTTGCCTATAGATCACTATGAGTGGTGACAAAGAAACGAGCTCTGGCAATGTGAAGAACATTCTCGGCGATGTCTTGTCGCCGACCTATAGTCTCCATAACTTCAATGAGCTAGGTCAACTCCTCGTAGGTATTGTCCTTAACGACACAAATTATGGAGAGTGGGTCCTGGATATGAAGGATTTGCTGGATGGTTCCATCCCACTTGTTCCAAAAGGAGCTTCGGATCGATGCAACACCATGGTAAAAGGCTGGCTGAGGACATCCATGGATAAGGAGATTCGCAGCAGCATTCGCTTTGCCGAAACTACACGTGCTATATGGTCTGATTTGCGTGATCACTTTGGACAAGGAAGCGCGTCTCGTGCCTATGATTTGTAGGGGTGTTTAAACGGTGCGGTTACCGTGATAACTGTTTTAACCGGTAGTATTTGGTTAATTTGGTTTGGTTATTTTAGATAATTGGTTTGGTTTGGTTGAAAATTTTAACTTGTTTTGTTTAAGTGGTTTGGTTTGGTTTCAGACACTCCTAACCAATCAAACCAAATTAACCAGTTACGTAATTAGCCATATATCTAATATATATTATATACACATACTTAATACTTTCCATAACCACTCAAGAGTCAAATGTACGATAATTGTATTTGTCACATGTATTTACGTTAAGGGTTAACTATAAGTATGTGGATTGTTATGTGTTATTCATTGTATAAATTGCGAATTGATTCACTAACCGATTTTTTTTCTCATTAATGATAATGTGATGTTATATTGGTTAACCAATTAACCAAACCAATAACACTTTAGTTTGGTTAATTTGGTTATTGTATTAGTTTGGACGGTTTGATTATGATATTGTCAGAGTAGTCAAAATCCCGATTTAAATCCTAAAATCCCACGGTTTTACGATTTTACTTACCTATTCCGATTCTGATTTCACTATAAAATCCATGGACCTTAAAATCCTACACTATTCACGATTTAAATCCTTAAAATCTTTAAAATCTTACGATTTTACGATTCAAATCTTAGAGTCAACTTTACATATTTCCCCCAGAATTTGCAAAATTACGCCTCTTTTTCTTCTCCGTCACCAGCATCATCTAGTTCTCTCACACTAATCACCATTGATTATAGTCAATTCACATCAACGTATTAATCATCATCGATTCACCACCTCTTAACATTAACCTTGATAAATTGGAACATTAACCTTGAAAAATTATCATTGTAAGTGTTATGTGCTTTTGTGTTATTCATGATTTTCCTTACTAATATTATTTCGTCTTCATTTTTATATGGACCTTAAAATCCTACGATTTTACGATTCAATTTTACGATTCTGATTTGACCCCCATTTTCGATTTTACGTAAAATCCCGATTTTGACTGCTTTGGATATTGTATTCTATGGTTAATAGAATTTAAACTTATTTGGTTTCGTAATTATCATCGTAAGCATTTGAACACCCCTAATGATTTGCGTTGACAAATAACTCAATCACAGCAAAGATAACATTTCCGTATGTCTCGGCTTAGTACACTGGTTTGAGGTCGTTGTGGGAGGAGGCCACAACCATATTGCCGCCACCTCACTGTACGTGCGGGTCATGCTCTAGTGACACTTCACAAAGAGCTTGTGAATATAAAGATCACTGTTATAAGACGAGCTAGCGTAATAATTCGGGCAATTTTTGGGCTCATCTATTTTTAGTATTTCATTCATTAATTAAGTTTTTTTTTGGTGAAAGATTAATTAAGTATTTAGTTATTATTCAGGATATTATTGTTTTCTAGTCTTAGTGAGATTTGGATTGACTTTTGGTATTTGCTTAGGATTTATTTGGCCTAGTACCAAAAAAGGCCTATAATTTAGGCTTTCTGTTACTTGTATCTTTGTGTTTGTCTTGCGTCACTTATGTCCCAAAGTTTAGTTTCCGTTAACTTTGACCGTCAGTAGTCAACAGTCACAATTTTGACCGAGAAGGTGGCATCTGACGAACGTGGAATTTTAAGCTCAATTTTATCTCACTTAACAATATAATTAAAACAAAAGATCCATCTCCATTCACATTCGCCTTCTCAGTTCTCCAGCAACGGTTGGGCAAATTCTGGGCCCTCCTCTAGTCGCTCCAATGGCTTCGTCACTTTTACATTCGTTGATTCTCCTTCATCTATCTCAATCCCTCACTTTTCCAAACTCTTCAAGAACCGTGCCACATCTACTCCAACCAGTGTGATACGAGCACGGACCCGGTACCCATAGTTATCAAAGTAACGCAGCTCCAAGAACGAACAGGAAAAGAGATTTTTAGGGGTTTTTGTTTGTTTGGGGATGTGATGGAATTGAAAGTGCAATCTCAACACGAGATGGGAGAAGACTCTATCAATATAGGGTAGAAGCTTGACAACAATCAAGGGGAAAACTTGATTGATACAAAGCAGAAAATTCTCAAGCCTAAAGCTCAAAGAACAAAGGAAATATCAATAATCATCAAAGTATGCTCCTATCAATTAAGGAATTCAAATACCAAAAGGGAAAGAAAATAAATGAATAATCAGGAAATAAAGCAAGGATCCGCCTAAAAGGAAAAGGAAATGAAGCAAGAATCTTCCAAGAATCCGCCCAAAAGTAATGACTTAGTCCTCAAGTAATTCCTTTCTTCCTTCTGCTGAGTTGGGCCCTTCTTCTTGGACTCCAAGGATGGTGACTCCAATGAGAGGTTTTTGATCACTCTGGAGGATCACATCACAGTGGCGGACCCAAGGGAGTTTGAGGTGTCTCGGGACACCCCTAAAATTTGGAAAAACGATTATCCAACCCTCGGTGCTAATTTACATATGGACAAAAAAATATAATTGATAGAGGGGGACACCCCTGAAATTTGAAAAAATGATAATTCTACTCTAAATTTTTTAGTCTGTCTATGTAAATATAAATGGTAGTTTGGATAATTCAAACCTAGGACAATATTATTATATTTAAACATAATTTTCATTACGCTATCACTCATATGTTGTTCAATTTTAAACACTGTGTAATAGAAAATATCATTTCCTATCTCTAATTATTTTCAAAATCTAACAATTAAACTAATTTCAAGTTACCGGCCTTAATTTGTATTGATTATATGGTTGTACGACAATTGTTGAAAAGGTCTTTTCAGTTTTGGGCTACATCAAGAACAAGTTTAAGAATCGAATATGTGATCAGTTCGTGAATGATTGTCTAGTAGGATATACAGATATAATTTTTTTGAGCAGTGTAGACACCAAGTGTATTCTATAATTATTTCCGAATATGATAACAAATCGTGGAATTTTTTTAACTTGTACGAGTCAAGTATTCTCTTTTAAGAATGATTTAATTTTTATTAATTATTTACTTTAAAATTTTATTTTATTTATTTTTTTTAAAAAAGGACACCCCTATGTAAAATTTCTCGGTCCGCCACTGACTGCAACCACGTAAGCCGCTTCTCTGCTCGACTCCTTCGCCAATGATCCAATCCTTTCCCCTTTCCTCTCTCCCTCATTATCTACCACATCCTTCTCCTCTGCCGCTCTCTCCTCTAGTTCCCCTGCCTTCACAACACAATTCGCCTCCTCGAATTACAGATATCCACCAAGTCCTCAATCAACTCTCCTCTCTTAAGCATAAGAGCACACACTCTCCTGGGATTGGAAAGGAAAGTCAGTGTCGCCATTCTTACCTCCGGGGACGCGATCGGACGAGCTGGGGGCAACGGAACGACAACGCGTTTGCGGCGCGGGGAGGTGGTGAGAGATGGCGGAGCACTTCTTCTTGCCTCTACTCATGCCGGTGATTTGCGGTTGGGTCTTACATGATGGAGGTGGGATGGAGTTTGCGGCGGCTTCGATTTTGGTTCCATAAATTTTAGTTTTCAGTTAATCTAAAGGGAAAGGGTGAGCCGAGGGTGGGAGAGGTTTAGCTAGGGTTAATTGCATTGAAAAGGGTATTTTAGGAAGCACAGGGGTATGAGTGTATCGGGTGTGACAATAACCCAATGCTAGTAGTATTATTACTAGATCAATCTTTTGTTAGTATCATGAGATTAAAGTTCAATCTCTATTTATAGAAATAAAAATTTAGTAGGATACAATTTTCCCCTTCTACTAATGCTATTTGTAGAATAAGACATACATTACATTAATATTTAGTAACAAAAGTATGAAATTGAAAATCTTTTGGG